TAGATTCTGGGCCTGTGATGAGACAGATGTCATGGTGGCTGGAGTGTGTGGTAGAGGAGACTGTTCACTTTGTGATGGACAGGAAGTAAACAGTGGGAAAAAGTACTGGAACCAGGTACAATCTTCAGCTGAATGCCTGCAGTGGTCTAACTTCCTCCAACTAGGCCCCAGTTCCTAAAGTTTCCAGAACCTCCCAAAATAACCCACCAGCTGGGGACTAAGTATTCAACACATGAGCCTCCAGGGAACATTTCATATTCAAATCATAAGAGATCAACTCTGCCCACAGCTTGATTTTAGATTTCTGGCCTCCAGCATTAGGAAAAATAGATTACTGTTGCTTGAATACTCAGTTTGCTACTATTACAACAGCTCTAGACACTGTTAGGGATTTCCTAGTATGCAGGTAAATTAGTTTCAGGATTGCTAGTGGTTACCATTCTCTCAAGAGAGACAAATCTATCAACTGTAGTACAATGTGTATGTGTTGCTCTTTTTGCCTTTACCCTTATAGCAGCCAACCAAAGCACCATTTCCAACTCCTTTTTTCACTTACCCTTCAATGAAATTACATGTCTGTAATGTAGTTAATTCATCAGCCTCCATTCCATCCTAGGATTCTCCAACATCTAGTTGGTTATTATTATTATTATTATTGTTATTGTTATTTGTGACCAGGTCTAGCCTTAGACCCTCCACCCTTCCAAGTGCTGGGAATATAGGTGTGCACCACCTGCATCCCTGACTAGGTTGATTTTTATAAAACTGAATATAGCAATTTTAACAAGGGTATAAAGTCATGAGTTTACTGCATGTAAATATATGTAGAATATAAAACAATTTCATTAATTTAAAAAATTCCCTCTATAAAACTTTTGGAATCAACTTTTTCCCAACTCCTAGCAACTACTGACATTGTGCTTTTCCCATATTTTCTGTAAATGGAATTTTAATAGATAGGCTTTTGGGTCTGGCTTCTTTCACTTAGCAAAAAATGCATTTGCACCAGGCATGTTGATGCACCTCTATACTCCTGGCACTTGGGAGGGTGAGGCAGGAGGATCATGAGTTTGTGATCAGTTTGGACTACGTAGAAAGACAGTGTCTTAAAAAAATGCATTTTTTGATTTGTTCTTATTGTTGAGTGAATCAGTAGCTGCTTTTTTTTAATTGCTGAATTTTCTTTTTCTTTTTTTTTTGAAGTGATGACCAATTTTATTTTATCTTTTTCTTTTATTTATATGTGCATACAATGTTTGGGTCATTTCTCCCCCCTTCCCCTGGCCCCCTCCCTTACCTCACTGCCCTCTCCCTCTCCCCCACTAACCCCTCACTATCAGGCAGAAACTATTTTGCTTAATTGCTGAATTTTCAATTGCATCTTCTGAATGCATCACTGTTTTTCCATTCACCTGAGGAAAAGCATTTTGGTTGTTTCCTATTTGGGGCAATTAGCAACAAAATTGCCATAAATATTCATGTCCAGGTTTTCTTTTTTTTTTTCAGAGCTGGGGATTGAACCCAGACCCTAATGACGTATGCTAGGCAAGCACTCTACCATTGAGCCACAACCCCAGTCCATGTCTAGGATTTTGCTGTTATTGTTGTGTGCACATAAGTTTTCAATTCATCTGGGTAGTAAATGTCTAGGAGTAAAATTGTTGGTTTATGTGGTAAATATGTTTTAAATTTTATAACAAACTGGCAGACTATCTTCTAAAGTGACTGGACCATTTTGCATTCCCACCAGCAGTGAATTATAGTTCCCGTTGTTTTATCTCTTTGCAGCATTTTGTAGGTTTTCTTATTTTCAATTTGAGCAATTCTAACAAGTATGTGATAGTTCACTGTATTTTTATTTTTCAAGCATTCATTTTTAAAGATTCATCAATACAGTTTTATATTACTTTCAGTGTTCTGCTGTATAATATTCCATGGTGTGCATTCACCACATTTCACTATCAGTTCTCCCAATAATGGACTCCGATTGTCTCCAAATTATATCACAAACCTTGCTTTCTCTATTCGTTATGATCTCAAAGATATCCATGGTTCTTTCTTTTTTTCTTTTCCTTTTTTTTGCTCTGGGGACTGAACCCAGGACTTTTACAATATATTCTACCACTGACTACTTCCCCAACCCCAACTTTCTTTTTTCTAGCAAGTTGCTTTATTGGAAAATAGTACCCAAATAAATATCCAAACAATATTCAAACCATATCCCCAAATCTTGTATAGACTAGACTGTCAAATTGTCATGCAGACTCTATGATACTTGTCAGGCTGATGTAAGTGTCTTCAAAAATAGATTGTTTACATAAAGTATTGAGACTTGTTTGTCTTTAATATCTTTTCTGTATTTTGTGTTAAAGAAGTGGTCTGTTTCATTAGAATGCATTTTTGAGGACCAGAGTAGATAAGTAATTTTGCAGGTCACAGAGCGTTGGGCAGAACTTACACCTGTCATATGTATGTATGTATATATGTTTGTGTGTGTATGTATGTATGTATGTATGTATCTATCTATCTACCTACCTATCAATATTGTTTCTTTGAGACAAGTCTTGCTATGTAGCCCACGCTGGCTTCAAACTTGAGATTCTCCTTGCCACATCATCTTGAGTGCTTGGATTGCAGGCATATACCAATGGTTGGCTCACATCTGATGTTAAAGCCTATAGTTTTTCCTACTACTTAGGGATTGAAATAGACACAAGCATATTTAAGATAGTGTCTCTGTCATCAGTTTGTACTGTTGATCTCTACAGTACCTCCATTCAATATTTAAAAATATTGAATATATGTAATATTTTGCAGCAATTGGTGGGGATTATTTCAGCTCAGGAAAACTTCTTTTAAAATTTTTGCCTAGATAGTGTTTAATACTGTCAAATACTATTAGAAGACTTCAAGGGAGTTTCTTTAACCTTTAAATAAAATAAAAACAAAACTTCAGTAAGAGGTTGATAATGGTTAACTTTGAGTGTTTACTATAAGTCAGGCAATTTAAAATTTCACAATGACTTAGGACTGGGGGTATGGCTCAAGCAGTAAGAGCACCTGCCTAGCAAGTGCTAGGCCTTGAGGTCAAACCCCAGTACCATAAAAAGAAAAAAATTACAATGGCCTTATGAGGAAAGTACATTTATTTTCTCTATTTCGCAGACTTGGGAACTGCAACTTAGGAAGGCTGAATGACTTATCCAAAGTTACAGTGACTGAGTAGTAGAACAGGCACAAAACCTATTTGTTTGACTCCAAAGCATACCTCTTTACCTCTAGGCTACAGTGCTGTAAAAAATCTTCCAAATGAAAATTATGTGGTATGAGGGGAAAAAAAGGAACTTTAACTGAAAGTTTGCGATTTTGGGGGTCATAATAGGGGTTAATTTAAAAAGTTCAACGGCATCTTTAGGTCAGTCACCTTCTATTCCTTTTTCTCATTTTATTTTCTTTATAGCCCTTTCACTACCAGTATCAGAAATTGTTTGGGTACTTGTTTATCAGTTTCTCCACCTGACTGCAACGTCAGTTCAATAAACTCAAGAATCTTGTCTTTCTTGTTCAATGCTGTATTTCCAAATTGTCCCCAACATATTAGAGATTAACATTGAGAAACTTTAAGAGTACTCATTATTTAATTTAAAAACAATAATAAAACAATCAATGGTAACATAAATTAGCCTTTTATGTGAAAAATAATTACTTTCCAAATAAGAAAACAAAACAAAACAAAAAACTCTGAGTGGCCCACAGTTTTACATTTTTTTTTTTTTTTGGTTTGAACTTGGGCTTCACACATGTAAGCAGGTGCTCTACCTCTTGAGCCACGCCCCCAACCCCGTTTTTGCAAACTCTTTAATATCTGATTTTACAAAAGATGACGGGAATTCTCCTGTCTGCTTCTGTTTTCAATGCTTCTATAACACATGACATATAGACTCCAGAATACTCTACGTCTGTGAAAGGCTGCGAGTGTAAAAGGCAAAACGTGTATCAGTATTATTATATAGTTTTGACCTTACCCATTGAAGGTCTGCGGACACTTTTGACTCAGGTCACACTTTAAGAACTGTTTTAAGAATCAGTATTAATCTGGGAGTGGTGGAGCACGGCTGTATGTAGTACCAGCACTCAGGAGGATTGCAAGTTCAAGGCCGGCTTGGCCTACATAGCCAGGCACTGTCTAAAAAAAAAAAAAGTTAAGATTAGATGATCCAGTATCAATTGAGAAACAGCCACGAGGTTTCACAAGCCAGAGGATTTATACAGGATTTAATTTTTCAGGAAGATGAAACAACGGATATATTGAGTGTCCTCATTACAAAGTATCCTGAGAATACACAAAACATGCCATTTCCATCCATCAGAAGAACTAAAGCAGAAATGAGGGATTGCACGTCAGTTAAAAGGATGCAGAGGTAGAATGCAGGGCATCCTTAAAAGGAGCAGAGACCCACTGAGAAGCAAGCCCTGCAGAAGATGTAGCCGAGATAGTCAGGAGGAAAAAACCGTTGTTCCTAGGCGGGGAGGGAAAATGGTTACCAGGTTACAGGAATTAGTCCGGGACAGGGATGGGAATCCAGAAGGGCTGAATGTCAAGGGTACGGAAAGCGAGCCCACTTCTGGGCTACCACCCCAACCTCACCCCGCGAGGTCCTAAGTGAGGGGGGCGAGGTGCGCTAGGGGTGATGCGTGCCCGTCAGGACCCTGACCCATAAGGGACGGGATACAGAAAAGAGAGGGCGGGGTGCACAGCGCCGGGAGGAGGACGGACACCGGCGGGAGGTGAGGGGAGCCCAAGCGCTGCGCGGGGGAAGAACCCACCCGGAGGCCGTGGAGGTAGCGGAGGAGAAGGACAGCTCTGTTACTAGGCAACCGAGCCCGGGCCCGCCTCCCGCTCGCGTTGCTAGGAGACGCCGAGGCCAGGAGGAGGGCGGGGGAGCGGGCCTACGTGCTGACGCTAATTGTATATGAGCGCGAGCGGCGGGCTCTCGGGTCTTTTTTAGCGCCATCTGCTCGCGGCGCCGCCTCCTGCTCCTCCCGCCGCCGCGGCCGCCCTGAGTCACTGCCTGCGCAGCTCCGGCCGCCTGGCTCCCCGTACTTGCCGCCGGTAACGGACGCGGGTCTGGAGGGGAAGGGCGAACGTGGAGCTGGGCGGGCGGCGGGGAGGGACGGAGCGAGGGCAGCACGGGGAACCGGGAGCCGGGGCCGCTGGCAGCCCTGGGCCTCCAGCCATCCTGGGAGGCCGGGGTGAAGTCTCCACCTCGCAGCCCGAGAGGGGCCCAGCACCGCCCGGCGCTTTTTCTCGGGGGCAGCTGGGGAGACGTGCGGGGTTCGGCGCGGCCTGGGAACGGAGAGGGAGGAAGGGGGCACTGAGGTTCTCTGAGCCCCACCGGCTTCTCCACGCGGGCGGGAACGAGGCCACTGCGACGAGAAATCGGCGGCCGCGCCGCGAGGCACCGGCAGGCGCTCGGGATTCGAGCCGGGCCGAGCGCTGGGCCGCCACCTCCTCGACGCCCCCCGAATGCCCCCCGCCTCTCTCCCCAAAATGACTACCCGGAGGGAGGCCGCTGGGGGATGGAAGGAAGAGCGGAGGCTGCGAATTCCGACGGGAGGGAGGGGCTGCGGAGGGACGAGGCCGCGAGGGCGGGGGTAGGGAGGCTGCGAGGCGCTCGCCCCGCCCACCGGGGGGCGGAGCCCGAGCGGGGAGGGGAACCCCCGGCGGCTTCCCTCCGCACGTGGTGGCCGGCGCGCCTGGTGGAAGATCTCTGCCCCTGGGCCTTCAAACTCCCGGGGTTTCCTGTACTCGTATCCGAATATTACTACTCTTAGGATTTTAAAGAACGCGTGTGAAGTGCTTACTGTAGTTCTTAACAACTGACTGTTTTGTGTATACCCGGTGCAGGTAGAACTTAGATAGGTGTCTTGGCCTGGGCATTTTCGTTTGAAAAGGATTGATCCGAATCGATCTAAATCTCAGACGGTTCTTAGATGAAAATAACGGGGTTGGCCAATGATGGTTTCCATTCTTCTAGCTTTACAAATTAGTTACTAGATAGAAGTTCCCAGAATGAGATACTTAACTGTACCAGTGTTTCAAGATGGATGAGGGGGAAAGATGGAATTAGGCGCTAATATAAACTGACTTGAGCAAAGTGTGTCCTTTGATGCTTTGTCAGTGCACCCCGCTTGCTTAAAAATCTAGGGACTGGCAGTGAAGGGAGGAAAGGACCGAAGTCCTTTTGGGGAGGGCAGGACTTTTAGGATACAAAAAGAATGAACCTGGCATAATGGTCTAAAGTTATCTTAGTCCTTATTTTAGACTATTACTGATCTGATGAATTCTGTTAGGACTACACTATAAAAATCTCACAACTTTCACTGCTTCCCTGGTTTTGGAAAAGCCAAGACAAAATTCGCTATTTTTCCAAATAGATGTAATCAAAACATCTTTCCAAACTAATGTCCACTAATATCTGTAGGGATGGGGGCATGACTCAAGAGGACCGCAAAAACAAATTAATATCCGTGTCGTGTTGTCAGTTTAAACGAATACTCCTAACTTTACTTACAGAGTAATATCTATTAGCTATTACTTTGTATTGGGTAAGGGAAAAAATCCTAATAGGTAGAGTAAATGTATTTAAAACGGATTACAGGCAAGTGAGGTTTTCAGTGGTCTTTAGGGATTGTTGTGTCTCTAGCTTGTTTGAAGTTGTTGAAGTTGAAATACATGGCCCAAATCTAAACTGTACAACTAGTTTTAATTCTAATTCAGAGAAGACTGGTCATGTGGAGAATGGAACTAATATGGACTTAGACATCTGTCATTATAAAACCTCTGTAAGTGCTCTTGTCAAAGCCTATATCATTTATGCTATTTTGATAAATAGAAATTAAAAACTTCACCATACTGATTTTAAAAATCTTTGTAAATGTTTTGTGTTACAAAGTATTTTTTATGTTGGGCTTGTTAAATGACAGTAATTGCTGAATTTGGCACGTAACTGTCCTTTCATGAGATGTTTTTAAAAAACACATTGGCAGCAGAACTAATCCGAAATGCTATAGCTCGTTTTATTCAGCTTGCTCATATTGGCTCCAGGTAACAGATTTGATCTAAATTCCCTAAAACATATTCAAAACAAAGGGTCTTTTATAGGAGAAGGGGCTAAAAGAAGCAGAATCTGTTTGACTGAAGATGTCAAATAAAATAATTGGCTGTTCCATTCAAATTTTGCTTTCTGTAAATTTGAAATGTAATAATGAAAGAACAAATGCTCATTCTCTCTAATATAGAAATAGTAATGATAAGTCTATTAACATTCTAAAGTTCAGTCAAACCTATAATTGTATTTTTGGTTTATTTGAATATTTTAGCACCTGTTTGCACATATCTTACATCATGAATAAAACTGTTTGCCTGGATATAAAATGTTAAGTTATGGGTGCTGTGAGGAAAGAAGAAAGGATTGGAGGAACATATAGTAAATTTGCAACATGCTTTATGGAAAAGAACCTGTAAGAATTAATAATATTAAGTCTCAGGCTAGTTTTATCTGCATATAAAGTTCTTTCTGTGTTGTGCAGAGTGGTGGCTTAGATGAGTGTAGTTGCTTTACACGTGGTAAGTTCTTCAGTACGTTGAAAGAATGCATTACTGGGCTTATCATAGAAAGTGGCCTCTACCTTTGATTACCAACTCTGCCTTTACTTTTTCAGAAATTTTGTTCATTTTGAATTTTACTGGGAAAGGAGGCTACAGTATTTCCTAAAGTAGAATACAACAGAGAAATAAAGTTAACAGTTGCAGTATGGCTCTTCAGGCATTGTTTTAAATTCTTCAGCATGTATCATTGTATCATCTAATGCTCCTAGAGGTAGGTAGTGCTAACATTTTAACAAGGAAGCTAGTACAGTGTGGTTAAGGGACTTATCCAGGGTTACATGACTGAGCAATGATGATTTCGGCGTGGCAAATTCAAAAGCACACTATCATGGGTTCCACTGTTCTCCAGGGGAAAGCTATAGCACTGAGTTCACCAAATTTAAATCCACCTCTGCTATTTGATTGGATGATAGTCTGGGTGTTTCTCAAATAGAGTCCATTTTGCTTGGTGGTCAATACTAGGCCAGTTCTAACTTGATTATTGCTATCACTGAAATGAAAAAGTCAGTGGAAAAAATACGTTATTTAATCTGTGATTTTGTGTTGGAGCCAGATAATGTGTTGTCTCTGGAACCACTGAAGATACTTAACTGGCAGAGTGCTGGATCACAAGGCTCCTGAGTTCAAACTCAAGGCCCCCAAAAAATAATAAAGTAAATAAAAAAGAGCAGTCATGTCTGAAATACAGATTTGTTTAAAATGCATTTGGGATAAGTTGAGATCTGAGGTAAAGGAAAATGTATATCCATGGGTATTACTAGTTCCCTGTTTTGCCTTAAATCATTTGCATTTTTAAATAACTCCCTACTTCATTAAGAAGTAGTCATTTTCTGTAAAAGAACAATAACTAGTTTGTTAATGTGTAATCTGTGAAACAGGTTGATTTTGAATGTGCCCTGGTATTTGAAATAGTGAACTGGACATAGTCAGATTTTAAATAGTTTTTGCTAAATTAGGTGCTTAATATTTTAATCTGCAAATAAGAGGAAAATCTAATACTCCTTTACAAAGTAGACTCCATAAATGTATCATTTTCATTGGCTTATCGGAGTGGGTAAGAAGTTAATTGTTCTCAGGTGTCTAGATGTCTAGCTATTGTAATACCACAAACTGATTGATTTTTGAGGTCTCATTTAGTTTCTCTTGATTCCAGTGGAAGGTTTTCTTCATGTTCAAGTTTTTAAATATAAGATTTGCCTTCAGAGTTTTTGTTAGGAAAAACTGAGATCTTGTATACATTATAGTGGGGTGAAAATCGAATCTTTGTAAAACGGTGACCTTTTTATATCTACTAATATGCCTTCCTTTTGAGAGCTTGTATGTGTTATATTGAAAATTACTTTTTGCAAAGTAGTGACCTTTGATGTTATTCTATTTACATACTATCCTTGCACTATATATGTTTTTTTTTCTTTTCTTTTGTGGTACTTTGTTCAAACTCAGAACCTTGCTCTACTGCTTGAGCCATTCCTCGAGCTTATAGATGTGTTGCTTATAAAAGCATGTCATGGCCTTTAGTTTTAAATGTGATAAAATTATCATGAAGTTCAAATTTGATTTTTGTGCTTTTTTTCAGCCTGTTCTTGTTCTTTTAGGTTTACTTTAAAGCTTTTTTTTTTTTTTTTTTTTACTTTGGAAGTTACATATACTGTTTCTAATTGTGAGGGTCATTCTAGAAATTACAGTGTGTATACTTAATAACATTACAGTATTTAAATGCATTTCTTTCCTGTTCACAGGAATTTTACTACACTGCATAGTGGCGAGATTGTTTCTTTCAAAATCTTTATTTAGCTGATAGCGGCTTGCACCTATGTAGTACTATCCCAGCACTGGACAAGCTGAAACAGGAAGATCACTTGAGCCTCAGAGTTTGAGACCAGCCCTGGTAATACAATGGGGCCTCGTCTCAAAAATTATGATCTTTATATATACACAGATACTTTTTTTCTCCTTCACTTTTTGTATTTTAGATTATCCATCTGTAGTCACTTCCTTCTATCTGAAGAGTACAGTTACAGAATAGGTTAGTGAGAGTGCCTGAAAGTATCTGCTTCACCTTCATGTTGAAAGGGTATTTTGATTGCATATATTCCAAGATCATTAGTTAATACACTGGGAGTTCTTTTTCTTCTGATGTTTGTTACTGAAGAGAATATACAACTGCCAGTCTGTCTTTGTATGCCTTTGAGGTGACTTTTTGCCTTTTTAATGATATGTCTCAGTGTGAACTTTTCTATTTATCTTGAGTAAAATTTGTGTGGGCCTGAATCTAGGTTGATATTTTTTATCACTTGTGGAAAATTCTTGGATGTTTGTTAAAATATTCTATCCCATTCTCTTCCATGTCTAGAACTTGTATGACACCTCTGTTGGGTTTTGTTCTGTACTGAGATAGCTTTTCATTTTGGTGTATTTTATCCCTTAGTCTTCCCCTCCTT